TTTGTAACAAAGCACATCATACATTCTTCATCAGTAAAATCATCAGAAAAAATCCAAATTCAAACACAATCCAAAGTTTATCTTGGTTTACAACCATTCTTGAAAAGGCACCCCTTTATATCTTTTTATTATATACAAATAAAAAAAGACAGTATTATCTATATCTCAATCTATAATTACATTTCAAAGATACATATTTTACCTTTCATGAAATCGAAACTACAGAAAACTATGAAATATGAAAAATTACTTTCTCTTAATCTTGAAGGTCAGGAGATGCTTCACAAATTAATCAACATTTCATCTCCTTATCATTATCTTCCTAAATACCCCTACCACAACACAAAGACCAGTATATTTTCAAAATTTATATAAAAATATGAAAGTGTCACACTTCAGTGTCATTTCTTGATGGTTGTAAACCCATACCTGTCCCTCTGCATCTGCACGCAAAAATGTAATCTATCTGTTCCAAAAATTACAAGCATTAGGCTGTGGGGAGAGGAGAAGGTACCTGAGACTAAATGATTGGACTGGTTTGAGCCTATGAACTGACCAAGCCCAAATTTCTTGCATTTAAGCAACGGCGCCGAGGCTTGTCGGAGATATGTTTTTTCCTTCCCTTTATCCACTGGAATGGTGGGGTAGAATTAATAAGTGAAATGCATCACAACCTGTTACTATATCCTCCATATATACAAACACATATTCAATGGGACTTTGTAAAATAAAGTCTAAAACAATAACAAATTTAATTTCCTTTTATGATAACTTCTATAGATTATTGCCTTAAAAATGGGTTTGATGAGTTTAATGCCAATGTAAAACCATCTAGAATAATAAACACTGAAAATACAATGCATTATAAGTCAAGCAACATTAGAAAACTCTGTAAGATAATATTGTGCCCTTCAGACTCTTTAATGCTTGCTGCTAACAAGCATACCTTTACCCATTTACAATGGGTGTCCCACATATGAGAAGCCCGGAAAAAAAAAAAAAAAAAAAGCCAGGCATCCCACCCGTGTGACGCTGTTTCGGGGCTCGTGCTCCGACTCAGCAGTGGGGCATGGTCGGCACGCGGGCAGAGTCTGGGCCAGCCCCACGCGCCAATTTTGTAGCTGCCCGTAAACTTTTATTTTCTGCTTCAAAATATACTGGCGGTAGTGGGTTAACAAGTACTTTGACATACAATATATATTCTTGTCTATATCAATATTCTTCTAAAAATCCATACTCATAAATTTTGTCAGCTGTAGTCTCCCTTTAATACTTTTGAGAATGCTAACAGAAACAAATACAATTTAAGACTAATGATTTTCATTACAGGGAGTTCTATTGATATCATTGAAGACATTTACATATTTCAAATACTTCTTACATAAGGAAAAATTTAAACCAATGACACCTAGTATCACTATAGAATTAGGCACAGGATAGCAATACACCATACTCACAGTATGAAGCAAAGCAAGATTTGTATTATATTTTATATTGGAACAGGACTTTTACTTGTATGTATAAAAAATATACAAAAGAACCAGAGTACCTAATTTAGGATACTGACAATCAGAGTTGATAAATTTCTAGGGAAATGTATATTAACCTGGAATTTAGTCTATAAGGATGTTAAGTATTCTATATTCTTTCTGACTAAAAAAAGAGGAAATTTAATGTGCTGCCACTGGGGATGGCATGTAAGTATATGCCATGCCCATTGTAAGTTTAGTTTATTTTTTGTCTTTACACATTGAAAACTCCATAAGTGCTTAGTTACCTAGGAGCCAATTACTTGTACAACCTTTACCACCTGTTTACCCTTTTCCTTGAGTTTTGAAAATAGCTTCTTTATTCTTATATTGCTTGTTAGCAATATCAATAACATTATAAAAATTATAATTTCCATAATAATCATAACACCACTGATACCAATAACATAAAAATCAACTCATACACACACACACAGACACACAGACACACACACACACACATATATGTATATATGTATATATATATATATATATATATATATATATATATATATATATATATATATATATATATATATATATATATATATATATATATGTATGTATGTATATATATGTGTGTATGTGTGTGTGTGTGTGTGTGTGTGTGTGTGTGTGTGTGTGTGTGTGTGTGTGTGTGTGTGTGTGTGTGTGTGTGTGTGTGTGTGTGTGTGTGTGTGTGTGTATAAATATAATATATATATATATATATATATATATATATATATATATATATATTATATATATATATATATTTATTTATATATATATAAAATATGTATATAATATGTATATATCATATATATGTATAATATATATGTATCATATTGCAGCAGCCATGACCCACAGCCTGCACAACTAAGCTCCACATACTTCCCAGGTTTGATCATGCATGGTCCAAAAGCTTCATCCTCCATCTCTCACCTGCAGGTGCTTCTTGTATCTCACTGCTGAGAACTGACTGAATGGATCACAGACTCCCCTCATTCCATGTTCACTTACATAGCCCCCATGTACTTCAGCTTTAGCATACATAACCGAGATCAACTCAGGATCATCCAGGTACACCTCAGCCAGCGGCAGCAACACAAGGACTGTCCTGTTATTTTCCGATTTGGGAGCCTCTCTGGCTCCCCAGTACAACTTGTCTTTACCTACAACAACTAACCATAGCAGTGGGCATTCACACCCACTACAACTACTCTCTGAAGTTCAGTTCAAATAGTATATGTGTGTGTGTGTGTGTGTGTGTGTGTGTGTGTGTGTGTGTGTGTGTGTGTGTGTGTGTGTGTGTGTGTGTGTGTGTGTGTGTTCTTACCTAGTTGTTCTTACCTAATTGTTTGAATACGGGAGAAGAGTTATGCTCAGGTGGTCCCGTCTGCTATATTTAAATTATCGTATGACTTTTTAAATTGATGCACAGTTTTGGCACACACTACTTGTTTGGGGAGACTGTTCCACGATTCAATAATTCTGTTTGGGAAACTATATTTTTTGACATCTTCATCACCTCTTTTTACTTTCAGCTTTTTGTTGTGTCCTCTTGTTCTTCTTGTGTTCAAGATAAAAAAGTCATCCTTATCTATCTTCACTCTTCCTGTAATGCAGTTGAAAAGCATAATCATGTCCCCCTTTTCCTTCTTTCTTCCAAGGTAGTAAGTCCTAATTTCTGTAGTCTGTCTTCGTAACTCAGATCTTTTAGGGTAGGTGCCCATCTTGTCGCCGCTTTTTGGACTCTTTCTAGTTTGTCAATATCTTTTTTTAAGTGTGGACTCCATACCACTGCACCATACTCAAAACCTGGTCTTATGATTGCTTTAATAATCTTCTTTACCATATCTTCGTCCACATACACGAATGCCCTCTTCATGTTGGCAATCAGTCCTAACATTTTGTGGACCTTTTCATTTATATGGTCATTTGGATTTAGGTTTCTATTTATGATTATCCCAAAATCTTTTTCCCTGTCAGCTGTGTCTAATACTGCGTCCCCTAATTTGTATTGGAATAGTGGGCGATTTCTACTTTCTCCAAACCTAACTACGTGGCATTTATTGGTATTGAATTCCATTTTCCATGTACAACTCCACGTGAATAAGTTCTCGATGTCACTTTGGAGGCATTGGCATGGGACGTTGTCTGTTATCCTCTTTTGTATCTTTGCGTCATCTGCAAACATATTCAGATAACTACCTGGGCTTATGTTTGACTCTAAATCATTGACGAAAATAGTAAACATAATCGGCGCATCAACAACGATCCTTGAGGTACTCGGCTGGTTACTCATCGCCATGTAGAATGCTTTCCTCTAATTACTGTACTCATTTGTCTTTCATGAAGAAAGTCTTTCATCCATGTGATTAAGTTGCCTTTCACTCCACCATAGTTTTCTATGAGACACCTTATCAAAAGCCTTCTTAAAGTTTAATTACACACAATCCACCCAGCCTTTTCTTTCTTGTAATATTTCAGATACTCTATCATAAAAACTGAGGAGATTTGTTACACACGACCTTCCTTCTCTAAAACCAAATTGTTTATTTGGTATCATTTCGTGTTTTCAAGCATTTCAACCCATTGTTTTCTAATTATTCTTTCTAGCAGTTTGCATACTACATTAGTTAATGAAACTGGTCAATAATTTAGTGGGTTTTGTTTGTCGCCACTCTTATATAAGGGTTTAACATTTGCGAGTTTCCAACTTTTTGGTAGTTTACCTTGTCTTAGTGAATTTTGGAATATTAACAATAAAGGAGTACAGTGGTCTTCGGCACATTCCCTAAGAACCCAGTTAGAAATTTCATCTGGTCCCTCTGCTTTGGTCTTGTCTAATCCTTTTAGTAGATCTTTTATTTCATTCTTTTTGAGGATGTTATTTTCAATGTTCTTTATGTTATTACGGGTATTTGCCATATCAAAGCATGGATCCTGAACAAACACTGACTGAAATTTCTGATTTATGATTTCACACATTTCTTCCTCCTTAGAATATATAATGTTATTGTCTTTGATGGCGCTAATTTGATCCCTACTTTTAGTTTTACTATTTATGTAGTTAAAGAAGAGTTTTGGTTGACTTGTACATTTGTTGATTATATCCTTTTCAAAGTCTAATTTCGCCTCTCTCATGGTTTGGGAATACTCATTTCTTCCTACTTTATACCTTTCATATGCTGCCTGAGATCTATGCCTTCTGAATCTTTTCCAAAGGAGATGCTTTTTTTCCCTCATTTTCTTGCATTTGTCGTTGAACCATTTTGGCCATTTCTTGCTTCAATTTTGAATTTGGATATGAATCTTTCCACTCCTTTTTTATAGATCTCACAAAATTTTGAATACTGAACATTAAGGTTTTCATCATCCAGAAGTGTTTCCCAGTTTATGTTATCAAAGAAATATTTAAAGCTTCTATAATCACCTCTTTTGTAATTGTACTTTTCCTTTCTTTCCTTGCTTACGATGAGTTTTTCCTATAGCAGACAGTATTTTAGTTTAATCATTACATGGTCGCTTTTTCCTAAAGGAGGACAGTACTCGATATCCTTAATATCATCGTTACGCTTTGTAAATATTAGGTCAAGCATAGACAGCCTATCTAGCCCTCTTATCCTGGTATGATCTGTTACATTCTGGAAAAGGCAATGCTCATTTATGACATCTAGTAATTTAGCATTCCACGAATCTGATTGTGCTCTAGGATCGAAACTTTCCCAGTCGATTTTGCTATTAAAATCCCCTGTTATAAGAATTTCTGTTGAATTGGTTTCTGAAAGTTGTAGCACTGCTTCCAGGCTCTTTACTGTCTCTTGAAATAGTTTCTGGTAATTTTCTAGTGACCACACTGATGTTTGAGGTGGCATGTATACCGTGGTTATTATTATGTATACCCCCATTTATTTCTACCTCAATTACCTTCATTTCCACTATGGGGTCCTGATTAATTTTTAACTCCTTTATAATAATTCCTTTCTTTGTTAATATTGCTACTGTGTGTGCGTGTGTGCGTGTGTGCGTGTGTGTTTGTGTGTGTGTGTGTGTGTGTGTGTGTGTGTGTGTGTGTGTGTGTGTGTGTGTGTGTGTGTGTGTGTGTGTGTGTGTGTGT